CATGCCTCCGGCCCAGCGGTGGTCCTCATAAGACGCTGCTTCGTTCCCAGCCCAGTGGTCGGCCTCCTGAGCATCTGTGTAGCCTTCGGCCCAGCGGTAGGCCCCCTGAGAATCGACCTCGCCACCTTCCCAACGGTCGGCCTCCTGAGCAGCTTCTACGCCTCCGCTGCCGGCCCCATGGTAGACCACCTGAGACTGTGTCCTGCTGCCGGTACTTCGGCCGGCCACCTGAGACTCTGTCCCGCTGCTAGTCCCTTGGCCGGCCATCAGAGACTTTGCCCAAGAAAGTTTTTGGGTTTTCTTTTGCTGTCGTCCACTATAAGTGGATCATTTTTTGTTCTGGACTCTGTTTTTGTTTTCTGCCCTCCTGGCCTGTTTCCCCCTTCGCTCACCCTGGGTGGGTTGTTTTTTGTTGGTTGGACCTTTTTTTCTGTTGGTTCTGGCCCTCCTCGCCCTAGTGCCCCCTCCGCCCGCCCTGGGTGGGTTGTTTTTCGTTTTCTGGACTCTTGTTTTTTGTTGTTTCTGGCCCTCCTCGCCCTAGTGCCCCCTCCGCCCGCCCTGGGTGGGTTGTTTTTTGTTTGTTTTTTGGACTTTTTTTTTCTGGGGGCGTCTGGAATCCTCCCTTGAGAGGGGGGCTCTGTTGGGATCCTCAGGCTTGCCCACCAGAGGGCGCCGAGGACCCTCTTCTGCTCTCTTTTTATCTCTTTCTCTTAGGGCTGGAGTCACTCTCAGGTTCTGGAGATTACCCTCTGCCTCCAGCAGAGTGCGCCGTGGGTCCTCCTGAGCTGAGCCTCTCACACACCTGTGGCTGATCTACTAATCAGGAGGACCACAGTATTTAAGCTACCTCCAGACCTGGATTCCATGCCGCAGTGTTGATCTTAGTTGGTTAGCTTCCTGAACCTTCTGCTTTAGACTGAGTCTTGGTTATTCCTAGGTTGAGACTAGATTCTAATCTCTCCTTATCTGTGCCTCACAGGAATCCTGTCTCCTTGTGAAGCTCTGGACGAGCTTAATCTCCTGTCTCCTCGTGAAGCTCTGGATGAGCTTAACCTCCTGTCTCCTCGTGAAGCTCTGGATAAGCTTAACCTCCTTTCTCCTTGTGAAGCTCAGGAAGAGCACCCTCACTGGAACCCAGTCTCTGGTCTGCAGCTCTGGAGGAGCTGCATATCAGGAAACCAGTCTCAAGCCTGAAGCTCTTGGAAAGCCTAGCCAGCTAATCTGCCCTGGTGAGCCAAGCCGAAGATTTCTACTTGGATGCAACCTGACGACTTCTCTGTGGAGTTTCCCTAGAGGTTCCCTTGAAGATCTTCCCCTGTTGTTCCCTGCTGTGAGCTGGAAGCTCAAATCCTGCCTTCTCCCTTTCCCTGCACAGACCCCAGTGAACCAGCCCCCTGCCAGTATTGTTTTCATTATAATCCATGTGCTTGTCTTTAAATAAACTCCTTGGACTTTTACCAGTGCCTCCGTGAGTGTTCTGCATCTTGGGCTTTACTCTAAGAAAACCCATCATGACAACGACTTGGAATTATGGGTAATCCAGAGCGTAGATTAAAACCATAACCGTTACACACAATATGTTCGCGAGGATGGATACCAAACGTGGTTTCCAGAAAGCAAATAGAAGAAAGAAAGAAAAAGCAAAGAAGAGCTGCTGGAAGAACGGAAAAACTTCCCAAAATAAACACTTTTTTTTTTAAGAACCAAAGAGGGAGAGGTGGACGTTGCTGCTGCTACAGTTAGTAAGGATTGGGACCAGGAAATGAATGGAGAGAGCATGGGTGAGGAGGGTGACTGTGAAACTAAAGGTAGCCCAATAAGACTAATTTTACAGCGGAATCTACTAAATTATACCGATGTCTAGTGAAGGAGAAGAATGATGAAAATGATGAAGTGTGTATGTATGGGGCACATTTCAGGTCGGTTGTCGGCAGCGGTGGCAGCAACAGCTGGGTGCTTTCGGGGAGGGGATGGGGTGTTGTGCTTCATATGGTGCCCACCCAGATGATGTTGCTTACGGGCCTATTGTTGTGTTGTTACGTCATTGGAGAGGAAAACTTCCTCTTTTTAAGAGGAAGAAAACTCTAGCAGACTCAGGCTCAAAACAAAACTTCACAGGAAACATCAGAAATCATTTTTCTAACAAAGCAAGGGACCCATTCAAATAATAAAAGATACTTAACCTGCTGTTGCCCCATGGGAGGGGAAAGGACGGATTAGGACCAATTCTGTTGTAAGTAGTTGTTTCGTTGGCGGCCTCACGCCAGTGGGTCTCGGTCTTATGTCCACCTAGGCCACTCTGGGAAACTACGTAAGAGTCATTCTAATACAACAGAGATGATATTGTAGACCTTGAACTTCTGGGGAACCTACGCAGCTTTGAAGAGATCTGCTCATGATGCTCTCACCTCAGCAGGGGGTGTTCCTAGAGCCCATAGCTCAGGAAGGCAGGCAGTGACTAAAGTGTTTGGGTCCGAACCAGTCACAGCGCAGAATGACACACAGGACACAAGGTGTCTGGCCAGGACAGGAATTGGGTGATGATATGATTGATTGATCGTTGATTGATGGCGGATATTTAACAAAACTCCTCATTTGTTGTATCAGAGCAGATCTACCACCAAGGCTCTGCTACATTTTAAGCTCAGATCTCTTTTCAAAGAGGGATGCAGTCATTTTTGCCAGCAAAAATGGACTAAGGATACTGAGATTGCACCACATGTAACGTGATATCCAGCCAGAATTTCAGGTCTGTCTGTTGCATCCAGACCAAGGTTCAAAGAAAGAGAGAAAAAGATTTTCCTTAGTGAATGTAAAGGTGACACATGATTCAGGATGTGATGTCAGAGGGACAGGCTGCATCAAAACAAACCCGTCAGTCGGTATTGCTCTACAGTATAACACATCCGTCCGTCCGTCTGTCCGTCCGTCCGTCCATCCATCCATCCAGTATACTTTCTTATCCTTCAAGGTTGTAGCAGGCCTGGTTTCTATTTTTAGCCGTCATTAGCTTGATGCAGGCTTTCTTGATCAGGTTCCAACAATAAAGGCAGGAATAGACAAACTTTAAAGGCTAAGTTGGTGACATAGTTCTTCTAAATCCACAGCAGGTTTCAAAATAAATGTCCCTTCACCACAATTAATTATCTCATAGCGGCTTTTTATCCCCCTCATCGCTTTGCTGCTTTTTTTCAGTTTTAAAATGAGGAAGTAGAGCACTTAAAGCTAAATGTATGTCACTTCTCCAGAAACATATTTTACTAAAAGTAAAATGGCAAGAATGGTAATTAAATATATAAAATGTTCCCTTGAAAAAATCATCCAATTTCCTTTAAATATTTTTCAAAGATGCCTCAAGGCTGCACTTAGAAAAAATTTAATTGTCCAGAGAGCTGATCTAAACAGAATTTCTTTTTTTTCTTTTACACTTATGTAAACAAAATGACAAATAAATCTGTTTAAGTCTAAACTGAGCATCTTTCACAATGTTTGATATTTCTTACCTACTTCCTAACAGTGTAGCTGCTATCTAAATGTGGTGATGGTGTTAGTTTTTACGGAGCTAGAAAAGTCTCAGTTTTCACAAAGTCATATATGTGATTCACACATGCACAGCACAAGATACACACACACACATTTTGTTCTACCATATGTAGTGAGGACCATGTGTCGACTCCCATTGACTTCCATTGATTTTCGGTCATTTTCAACCCTTTCTATGCACTAATCCTAAACCTAACCATTACCAATGCATACCTCACCCTAACCCAAATTGACACCTTAGCCCTAAACCTAACCGTTAGCAAAATAGCCTGTGAGGACCAGTAAAATGTCCTCACTTTGCAACAACTGGTCCTCAGTCTGATGGTAAAATTGAAAAAAATGGTCCTCACTCTGATGCCTAGACAGGTACACATAAGATCCACACATTAACATGCTGATTCAAACAAGCATATAAAAATTACATATTCACAAAGCAAGATTCACAAAAGTGTTTGTGATGCCTATAACATTATATCTTTATTCATAAACTACCATTGGTCTTTGAACTTGACATGAATGAATAAGATAATTCCATTTTTGCAGCCAAATGCAAGAACGTTTACCACATGGGCAATGATTTTCTTTATATGGTAGAGTAGGAAGTCACTGCAGCACACAGAAAGCAGAAGAGACTGACCACATGGTAGCCCCATACCATATATTGATGCTATATCCTATATTAGTTTTTCATGTTTTGTTTTGTTTTTTATTAAATGATCTACTTTGCTTACATTTGTTTCTTGTTTTTTAAAGATATATTTTATAGGATGATATTAAATACTGAAATTGGTCCTCTGTCAGATGGCCTGGCTCAGCCTCAGAGGTCAGTCTCTTGCAGATATGGGGTGGGTCTAAACTCTGTGCGTCTTCATGCAACAGCAGAAAATAAAATAAAGAAGTGTTATGGAAGATTTAAGATAAATTGTTAGGATAACAGACAACTGTGGATTGTTTTAAGTCCACAGACAGATACTTGCAGCAAGAAAATGGCTGCATAAATAGATTGTAGATGATAGAGAAAAAAAGAGATGAACTGTATTTAATTGATAATTTTAACACAATGCACGTAGAGCAGAAACAGTTGTAAAGCTCATCATTTAACAAGTCTTTTTGTTTAGAACAAACCTCCCTTATGTGTTTAGGAACCCCAAGTCTTTTAAAAATGAGTAGTGTATTAGCATTTAAACAATGTTTGAAACCTGACAGATATATTTTCCCATAAACTGAGATGAAGTTCCTGCAGAGACAGGAAATCTGTTTCTAACACATCATTGTGGTGAAAGACGTAGCTACTTACTTTATGAACTTTGAAAAAAAAGGGAAGGAAACAGACAGAGCAGGACTTTTATGGTCTGAAGAAGAGGTATGAGAACATTAGTTTTTATATGCATTTAATGTAACTTCTCCTTTTCTGTGCTGTACTTTGAGCAAAGTTTTCTGATTCTGTGCTGCAGGTCTGGAAGTAAGGATGGGGCACACTTTGCTCTGCAGGCTGGGCTTCTTCTGTAAGTAAATTACCTACTTTCTTTCCATCTATTGGAGAATTTACATGGTGCAATCTATAGTATGTTGTAAGTTTAAACTGTCTTTCCTGAAAAATTAAAGTATCATATTACTTTTTTTTTAAATATGAAACTTAAAAATGATATGGGATTTGAACATGTTACTCTGTGGCAGCCAGATGTGATCAAACCTTGTTACTTGTGTCCAGTGGTGGGCAGTCAGAGCCTTCAAAGCCTTTTCTGCTGGCCTAAAATAGCTCAGAAACACTAACCTACATTCATAACTTAAACCATTGATTTTATTCCAAACAATCTGTTAATTTAAATTTGTAGCATTTCTCTTGGCTGCGATGATTCCATTGCATTTATGTGGTTGCTATATTTTTTGTCCAATCAAATTTCAGCCTCTGTGTGTTGCTATGTCAGTCAAATCTGCCCAGAGCCTTCAGGGTCAGCAGTGCTGGCTGATGTTAACTTAAAGGGATAGTTCGGTATTTTTGACATGAATCTGTATGGCATCCCCATCACCAGCGGCATGCAATCACACTGACTTACCCCTGGCAGCGTCCTGTGAGCAGAGTTCTCGTCCAGTTTTGGTCAAGCCAAAGGTAGTCCGGCAGGTTTGCTAGACCCAGCGAAATAAAACGTTTCTCTTCCCAAAACATTATGTGTTCAAAAGAGTGATATTTTTGCATCCCAAAAACGTTGTAGTGGAAAAAGTCACGCGTCGTTATCAATTGGTCCTATTTTCTCTCTGTTCGTATCAGTGCGCGCCGTCATTCAGACAGCGAGCCCAACAACAGCCATGTCTACCTCCGCCGCGGAGGTAGACATGGCTAATATGTTTAATAAGTTTAATAAGCTAATAAGTTTAAATTTTCAGTTCGGATTTTCAGAGAGCTCTCATTGGCTTTCTATTGGGGAAGTGTGGACTTCTTCGTGGTCTGGGCCAAACTGTCGGAAAACCGTAAATGCCACACAAATGAGGGTTAGATTTCCTGAATCCTGACAAAAAACTCCTCTGTTTCACCTTCAAAGGAGTTGTTATATTTCACATAATGTTTTGGGAAGAGAAAAGTTTTATTTCGCTGTTCCTAAAAACCTGCCGGACTACTTTTGGCTTGACCAAAACTGGACGATAACTCTGCTCACAGGACGCTGCCAGGGGTAAGTCAGTGTGATTGCATGCCGCTGGTGATGGGGATGCCATACAGATTCATGTCAAAAATACCGAACTATCCTTTTAAGGTAGCAAGAATCAGCATTTTATATCTGTTTTCGTTTAATGTTTTTCTGGCCTTAATGGCTTGTTATAAATGGACATACTAAGATTTCCTGCACAAAGACAGAAGGATGGATTGTGTATTCTATCTGGTAGTTTGATGCATATTTAATCTGAACGGCTCCTGATGATGTAAATATGGCCGAGCTGCAGTTATAGAGTAGAGGTTTACCATTGTCTTAGCTGGGCTTCGTGCTTAATTGTTCTCTGTATTCACTCTCATACTAAACTTCCGGTTATACCTGCGCTAGTTACATTTCATATTATAGTACTCATATTATATATGAGTATTATTGGGGGTTTATTTAATTAAAATTTGAAAATGGTGATATTAACCCCTTGACACCCATCATTGCAAATATACAACAGACCCTTTGTATTACCAAGATAGCATGTGCATTCCCTCAGTGCCAGTTAGTGAACAGGAACCTTTGGAAAGCTCTTGTTTCTGTTACAACTGGTCCCTAACAGTAGTTTATGAAATATATACACACTTTATATTTATATTCAGACGTCAAGGGGTTAAGAAGTAGAAGTAGAGGGGGCCCCACTGAAGGCCTAGGTACCAGATGCACTAACCTCCACTGCTTGTGTCCTATAACAGATGGAAGCCAGTATGATTTGTTGTAGCAACAGAATCACTTCAGAAAGATTCACCAGATTTTACAAGATGGAGGAGGCTGAGAAAGCTGAGGAAGGCTTTATGATTGAGAAATCGGTCACAGCAGCATCTCTTCAAATCTCTGATATCACTGAATATTTTTCTTTAGATGTGGGAAATCAGAGTTGTTTCTAGTGAGTCTGGCGGATTGATATAAGCTCACAATCAGATTCTCAGTTCATTCGTTCAGGATGAATAGTGTTGCCTTGTCCATCTGATAATTGATAGAATGAACTGGTTGCTCTGGTTTTGTTTAGTTTTTTTGTTTTTTTACTGTTTTTCTAGTGTTTTTATTCTAAAAATGTGGGGTTTGTTTTAATTTTTAACTATTATTATTATTTTTAATATTATTATCATATTCTCCACAAGTACTCCTCTGACACTTAATGAAAACAACTATTATTACCCTGACCCCCAGATTCCACATACTCCCCCCCAGATTCCACATACTCCGTCAGCGCGCCGCTCCGCTCCGCCCCACTGACGTACGTCGTGCGGAGCGCTAGTCTTTCATGTAAATCAATGAGAGCTGTTCCACATCCACCGCTACCCCTCCGCACGTCTCCGTCAACGTACGTCTTCTCCGTCCGTCACCGACAAATTACGGAGCCGAGCTATTTTTTGCTCCGCTCCGCTCCGGTCCGGCCAGGTCAAGATCCGCAATTGTAATCGGACCAAACAGGAAAAAGAACATCGACAAATTCAAATTAAAATACAGTAGCAACAGATCGGTGACTAGAAATTATAGCACAATTCTTATATATATATATATATATATATATATATATATATATATATATTAGTGCTGTCAATCGATTAAATTTTTTTAATCGCGATTAATCGCATCAATGCCTGAGTTAACTCGCGATTAATCGCATTTTAATCGCGCATTTTTTTCCTGATTGAAAATCATTTAAATACTCTCGATGACATACAAAAAAATACATACAGGCCAGGTTTGTGCCAATGTTCTTTTTTTAAAATGAAAACAGGTCACAGATACTGATTTATGCCAAAAATAACAAATATGTAGCCAAAAAAAAGGCCCTGAAAACAGGCTGATGTAAAAGACAGTCTTTACAGTTAATACAGTCTTTTGAACAAAGACAAGCATTTTACCCTACTGCTATAAAATTTAGTAGAGTTAACATTAGATGTTAATTAACCAAGGTAATAATGAACAATTTTCAATCAATACATCAAAATCAATAGACCGACATCACTAGATGGAGGTAGTCTATGCTCTAGAAAGTTACTTTTCAGCCTCTTAACAAAAATGAGAACACACACACAAGCACCCACCCACCCACACACACACACACACACACACACACACACACACACACACACACACACACACACACACACACACACACGATACCGACCTGTGGCGTACACAGACAGCAAGAGTGCCGTAGCAGATTCCATTTCACCTCAGTAATCTGTTTTCTCAGCGTATTTCAGGTTGCTACTAGTTACCAGACACCCAACTTGTTTGTTGGTGGTGGGGCTTAAAGAAAAGGCACTAGCGCCACCCAGTGTATGAGCGTCTTTTTCCCTTGAGGAGGTCCGCTCTCGAAGCCTATGAGAAATGCATACACTGGGGGAAAATAGCCCCGCCTTCTCGCAGGCTGCAGCGGGATGTACTTGGAAAATTGTACCATAAAACCACATAGCGTTAATCTCACGTTAAAAAAATTATCGCCGTTAAAATGGCATCGCGTTAACGCGTTAATAACGCGATAATTTTGACAGCAATAATATATATATATATATATAAAAACTAACACCATTTATTTAAATGATTGGATCCAAACTATTGGTTATTCACCAACGAGGAAGCAGATTTCTCATCTCCATCAAAATATTTATTTTATACTGAGGGACTAAAAGTTTAATCAGATCCATTCAAAAGAAACTTCTTATTACAGGAATGAAAAGAGATGCTGAGTTTGGGAGTAGAGAACAAGTTCATGAAAAAAAAGCAGTTTTGAATTATCCTTATCCCCGTTACAAAAATCTACAAAAATAAATATATATATTTGGGCAGAAACTGAACATATGCTGGATGATGGTGGGATTTTTTTAATATGTCATATTAAATTAAGCGTTCACAGGGTTCATAAAAGAATGAGTGACTCTTTAATGCAACTTTAATGCTATTAGAAATAATTTTAATGCCATCAACAAGTACCATTTACACAACTTATCAGTGTACATGAAATAAGAAGGAGCTCTAAGCACAGTTCCATGACTCTTGTATTTATGTACACACACACACACATACACACACACACACATATATATATATATATATATTTTTTTTTTTTTCTAGCTTTTTCTCCGCCTCGAGCTTCCTTCCCAAACATACGGGTTTATGATCAGTTCCATGCAAATTAATCGCGATATATCTGACGAAATTGTTTTTATAAACATTTTTATTAAAGAATTATAAATGCCACGATAACCATATTTAATTAATTTTAGTACCAATTAAGGCCTTAATAAAAAAAAAAAAATGAATTGTAATTCTTTTTAATGATCCACGGAAACCCTGGTTCATTTCCGCATATATTGCTGCTTTGAATTTAATCATCTCGCGCATGCCTTCTACGATCTCCAAGGAACTCAGAGCGGAGCGGACGGGAGCCACAGCGCAGGCAGTAGGCATTGCTGTGCGCAGGCGGTCTGGAGCGCAGCGGGGCAGACCAGAGTGGAGCGCTGACGGAGTATGTGGGATTTCGGGGTCAGGGTCTATCAGCACTCCACTCCGCTCCGCTGACGTATGTCTTGCGGAGCGCTTGTCTTTCATGGAAATCAATGAGAGCTGTTCCACATCCACCGCTACTCCTCCGCACGTCTCCGTCGTACGTCTTCTCCGTCCTTCACCGACAAAATACAGAGCTGAGCTATTTTTGCTACGCTCCGGTCCGGCCAGGTCAAGATCCGCAATTGCAATCGCACCAAACAGGAAAAGAACATTGAGAAATTCTGGTTCGTCAAATTTAAATATAGTAGCAACAGATCGGTAACTAGAAATTATAGTACAATTTTATATAT